GCGGTTCTGCGCTGCTCGCGGAGCTCAGGCTTAGTGACCAAGGCGTGAGCTACCAACAATCGCATGTTGGGTTTCTACTCCCAATCTGATGAATCCAAATCATAACGAAACCAGGTCGGTCATGGAGTGCAGTGTTGGAAAAAGGCAGCTCCGAAATTCTCCACTTCGGATGCTGTCTCAATGCTCGAAATGGCGGACGGTTTGCTTCACAGTAAACCCTGAGACTGCGTGTCGCAATCCAGATACACAGTGGGTACTCCAGGACCCAACGGTGAATCTATGTGAATCTATGTTTCACTTTAGTCGGACCACTTATTTTCTGTCGTTACATGTCCAATCGAGTGTCCTGCTTTGAGTTTCCCCAAATGAAGTTTATTTCCGATATTACGGCCTGGTGAGCACGACTGCCGTAATCGGCGCGAACGATACGGTTGGCACGAAAAATACTGATCCCGCAAAGCTTGTATACCTCCAAACCGAGACGGAATGCAGTTGTCGGTAGTCACGCTGTCAACCGCTTGTCACCCACGCACGCAACCCCCAAAAGAGTGAAGACTGACCTTCAGCAGCTGGTAAGGCAACAACATGGTCGTACAGCCTCGATTCTATATCTAGACTGTGGACATATTCTGCCTAAGCGAACACAAGGATAGGCGAGGAAAAGATCCTAGTAAAGCGTCGGCACGCAAGTGGATTCACACGTAATGTGTGGGCGGGTCTTGCATGGTGCGGCGTGTATCTGTATGGTAAACTCACCTAAGTACGATGTCGCGATTTCGACTTGCTCGACCTTGTGGAGGCAAGCGCTCCACATAACAATCACACCTCTTACGTGTCGGTGCTCTGCACTGTTCTTGTGAATAAAGAGACGAACTAAGCTACCACCAACAAACCATGCATGGCTTTGTGCTCCTACATGCGGCCACCTTGCTTCACCGTCGTCTGTTTTTAGTCGCGTGTTGGTTCTCTTGCAGCCCTTTAGTTTCATCTTTCTAATCTATATCACGGGTTGCAGCAATGTGGAGCGTGGGGATTCCTCACTAGTCACTATGCAGACTTGGTGTACCACTGCATTCATGAACCAAGCTGTTTATGGTTCTCAGCAAACCCTTCATCTTTCTTCTCACCATCCTATGGTCTTTCATGGGACTTTTACTTTGTTTGCATGCGTTTCGCCGTCATTGAAGGGGACTCTTCTATCCATTGTTGGGTCGCATAACAATGGGTGCACGGTAGAAACCGAGGTTTACGCACCATCTGCTTAATCGTTGCACCCATCATTTTGTTCGGTTTCCCGTTGATCCACTAAAACACTGACCTTGTTGCACTTTCCCCACCGGTTTCATCCAATTTCAGTCACATGCTTCAAGTTAATTTTACTGACGGCAGAACTGGTCCAATCGAATTCGACACGAACGGCGATCGTGTCAGACCAATGTACGAAATTGTGAACGCACAACTCGTGGCTGATCCGTCGAATGCGGCGAAATCATCTTTCGGGTTCCAACGACCGGAGCTAGTACCTGTCGGACTGTATGGACTTCCACAAGTGAGTCGCCCGCCCGTAGCCATACAAGTCCCAAGCCCGCTTTCTAATCTGAGAGCGCGCGTTCGAGTCTGCGTAGGGACCGGGCGACTCTCGCCGTATCCTCAGCCCACGTGCGACCGGTGGTGGTTGCGGGGCAGCGTAACGTCGGTACTACCTACTGGCGTATTGCTAATGCCTTCTTTTTCTTTTCCTTCCAAATGTGAGTCAAACACCACGAATCCATCCGTTAGTGATCTTTCAAATCGATTTCAGCTCGTTGCTAAACTCGTTAACCAACTGCTATACCACAGGCGACTGGTTGGCGCGTGCTTACTTTTGAGAACATTTGTAGCGGTCCTGTGCTCAGATAATCTGGGTTACCACTGAGCACATCAAAACGGCCTGCACGAAGTACGAGGAAGTAGAAGGCGACTCGCGGTTTTCTCTAGCTGCTGAGCTTTAACTTTCATCCCCGACGTCAAGACTATTGCTCTTGTCCTTTCTTCTGGCATCGGTTTGATGACGTTCCCTTAAGTACACCACTCACAAAGTCTGTACGTGTTTCCATAGGCCCTTTCCACTGGCTGACGGTTGCATCTGTGTGTGCACACAGAATCATGAACAGAATGAGTCGGAGTGACGCATATCTTACTAGTTGGATTATTCTCTGGTGAATGGTCTTGTATTCTTGATACATATTTTATTTGGGTAACAGCATGCTGCTCATAATCGTAAAAATCTTTTAGATCATCGTCTAGCGTCCACATTATGTGGCCACTGTGGGACACGTCTCTACCATAGCTTGTACCTTTACTCCGTCTTTCCCACAGCCCACTCCGACCCACTGGTACTCTTCCTTTCCCTACCCAAACCTGCTTCTGATCAATATGTCTGCGTTGATCTGGCCGTCCAACAGTGTTGTGCGACGTCGCCAATTGGTTTGCATTCAAAGGGATCCAGATGGCAGGTGCCGTCAGACTGAGAAACAGACTGTGCCAGCTGCTCCGATGAGTTTTAAAAAGAAGACGCATCTCAAGGTGGGTTAGTGTTTTCAGTCCGTTGCAGAAATAATCATATATGTTATCTTCCTGTGAGGATCTTACACCCGCAATATATATATATATATATATATATATATATATATATATGGATTTGCGGCATCCGTATCCGGATTTGCCTGTCACTGTGGCAAGCCACAGGACGCCAGCGCCTACGAAGGGGCCATGCGTGGCTTGCGCTGCACCATCCACAGTTCCACCCACCCACCCCATATTTAGTGTAAGACCGGAAGGTATGTGGATGGGAGCCACGTTTCATCAACGGAGCCGGCCCACACTCCTTCCACAAGCAGAACAGAAGCATCCCGACTTAATTGGGGAAGCATGCACACCAGACGTACACAAGGCGGTGGCTGGTCCGTAGCCCCTTCCACACGGGATGGAATCACTTTTTGAACCTAGCACCGTCACAAAGATAGTGTACTCCGTCCCTTCCAGCAACGACCAACTGTCTCCTGGAGCCAGCATTCAAGGTGGAGGTTATCAGACAGGTAGGTCTCTTGTCAACATTCACAGGCGCGGCCACGCCGGGGAACTCAAACAACATCTACTTCTGAAATGCAAGAATACTCATCACGCAGGCAAGCGTACCACATGCGTCGCCTTATTGGCCTGGATTAGTAAATCGTATGGGAGCGTACTCCTGGTGCTTCTATTCCGCGTGTAATAGTGCCTTCTCCTGCACCTGAGCAACCATTCTTTTTAGTAGTCCACGGAATTCGCATTGACCAACATTTGACTTGGATTTGCAACACCTGTAACCTAAATAAGTTTGTCATAGACTCACCTTTATGTCCTGGTAATGTTCTTTTCAATTTGCCCTATTGCCGCATTCCTGCACTGAGTTGGCCGTACAAAAGCGGTATGAATATCCTAGTCGAATTTATTCGGTATACATATACATATAGATTGGCGTCATCTGTGTCCCATGGCAGTTCGAATACAACACATGCACATGCGCTTGTCCAGACTTAAGTATGAATTGCCACAAACTGGATAGAGACACATTAGACCTCATGAGCAATGTTATTAATAACGTGTATTGGTATCGTTTGGAGGTCAGGCTAACAGCTTATTGCACAGGCATAAATAAGTATCCAAAACGAACTGTTGGTCTTTTCTTTAACATTTAGACATGACAGCTTTAAATCTTGGGCATCTATTTTTGCACGAAACCAGTATGGGAATAGGGACGAAATTGTCATCAGTACGGTTACCAGGTAGCATGATTAATAAACAAGTGGTACATTATGATAGTGTGTGCTTAAGTGTCGCCTCCTATATGCACAATCTGGTTTGCGTAGCTAATGCAAGAGATCGCACAGCGTGCGAATGCGATTGGGTGTTCACTTCAGTCACTCGGTGTCGCCGATCGTTCCGATCATCTGTTGCCCAAGGCACGATTGTTGCGCAACCTTAAACATTGACAGGTGCCAATACCACATATTCGCCGCTTACGGCCTCATTGGAGAGACAACTACCGCCATTCTACATCAAATAAGTCCAGCTGCTCACTGTCAAACATGCGGCTTTCTTAACGGTGTGCGCACTGTTTTGCAAATGTTCAAGACGTAGCATGGATGTCATCCAAGTACTCAACCGTTTGTACATACCGATGTGTATTCTGCTGAGGCCCTAAGTTATTTGATAACAATCTCTATCGTACATCTCGAGCACAGCCATTCGGCGGTCCTGAAACGATTTTCGCTATGCACCGATTTATTTCTGATGTAATATACTACAACACTGACGTACCATTACCGTTAGCTTTACCTTCTTAGTCTATCCAGAAGATCGGCCATGTCCAATTTAACTTATGGTAAGCGTCTCTGAGTTTCAATCTTCATTCCACTTCGTACTTGCGTTTTCATAAGCCCCGGTCAATTCAGTATGGCTGACGAGCAACGGGAAATATAGCTATGCCCACTCATCAATAACCTGTGGAGCGGAACATGAATTATCGATATCATGATAGTCTCTAGTCAGTTAATTCTCGGGATTGCTCACTTGCCGCGGAATTTCCAGGGCAGTTTCTCTTCGGATGCATAGTCCAACTTGGTTACAGGGGGCGCAATCATCGAGGATTGTGCTCTAGATGTCAAACTTTATGCGTACTATAATCGGCCAAGCGCTGGTAACCCTTGGGTTCACAAGTAACTACCGAACTGGAAACATACTCAATGCGTTGCCACCCTAGCATTGATGCGTATCAACAGCACAGTTCGCTCGGAAACTCCGCGCCCACGTCAAATACGAATGAGCTCATGGATGCACTAAACCTTTGTTCGGCGATACATCACCTCTCTAAGCGTTGTGCTAGTTAGCATTGAGCTGCTGGTCAAGCTAGGGTCATGTAATCTACAAATCCATTTCAAGGCGCAGAATGTAGATAGCAAAAGGGACAGTGGCAGCCTTACATACTCTGGTGAGCAATACCTTGGAGCTTACATAGTGCTGTGACTCGCGGCCGAATAATACTACGAAGAGGGAAGATGTCGTAGCTCTCCGTCTTGATATGTCACCGTACTAGACTCCACTTGATGAGTACAATAGTGTAGTGGGCAACACATGAAATAACCGCGAAATACACCCGAGTTAGGCAAGCCCTATAAAGGTAGGTTAGATGTGACTCATCCGTTCTAGGCAGGTGCAATAAATATACTACATTGCAACAAGTCAATATTTAATCATCCTAGCACGATTCGCATGCGCGATAGAATAAGGATGACACAAGGAAGATGACGGAGATGGAGTAAGCAACTTTACAAATTAGCAGGGAAATGGTGCGATTAAGTCCTGCATTTTATAAGCTAAGCCAAAACCCGCGGTGAAAGAACGGAAATTCTAGCTATACTCACTTAACGAATAAGTAGCAGCATAGTGGCACAATGATGACTTATCGTTGGTGTGTGCTGTAAATGCCGTCTCCTATATTAACTGCAGGCTATCCGTGTCGGAAGGTAAACCAGAGCTGGTTATGATCGTCTCTTGTTCGAGGTGGGCGATACTTAACAGGTATGTGAAACCACCGAGCAGTCCGTCGTGTGTTACCATTTATTTCCCCCTGGTCATTCGTTCCATATATATATATATATATATATATATATATATATATATATATATATTCACAGTCTGTTAACAGACATTGTGCCATCAGAACCATGGTAGAAGAAAAAAGTGAAGATGGGAACACGAACTGCGATTTAAAAATATGGGAAACGATTTTTTTGGTTTTACACACGCCATTCGTTCTGACCGCTAGCATATCTAGATCAATTCTTCAATGCCTAGAATGTTACCTGTACCCAAGCGTTTCGATTCGCATGTCACATCGTGTTGCTACTGTTCCGGAATCAACCTTGATGACTTGTCTGAATCCCCGTGCGGTTACCTGAAGGCGGCAGCAGTACAAGGGAGCGTATGGAGGCACTTGAGATGGGATACATTGACCTCATATTGCAACGCGCATTAAGTCACCGTGTCACACGAGAAGAAATTTACTAAGACCTATCTGTCAAGTGAGAACATAGCGAGACACGAACAGATGTTTGCGCGACTTGTAATTTCGGCGAGCCTCAGTTAGACATCTATCCAGCAGATAATGGTGTCAAGCTGAAGCGTGGTGCTTACAAGTGTTTCTAAATGGCTTCCACTTAATTATTCAACATGATTGGTGAATCGAGGTTCTTCGGGCAAAATCGTGCCGAGTAAGAATGAGCAAGCGTTCGTGTCAAATGGGGGTTCGTCGGAAGTCGGAGTCCGCTGTGCCGTTTGTAATTTATTATTTACTGATTTCAGGGCAGGGCGCATTTCGGCGGGCCGTTGGAGCGGGCTTGTCGGACTACAAAAAACTGGCTAGCCCAGAAAAAGGCCGACAGAACTTCAACCTCCGCTACTGCCAAACGGTGCGCTTGGGAGTGCATCGGCGACGGTGTTTTGCGCACCTGAGACGTGCCGTATATCGGTCGTAAACTGAGCGATTTAGTCAAGGTGGTGCGCCTCTCTAGGAGAGTATCGGTCGGTAGTCGAGCCAAGCACGTAAGTCAGAGGTGTGTGGTCAGTGAAGACAGCAAAGGAGCAGCCTTCTAAGACTTGTCGAAAGTGACGTATCGCTAGATATTTGGTTAGTAGTTCTCTACTGAACGTGCTGTGGCGAGATTCAGTAGGTTGTAGGCGTTTGGAGAAAAACGCTAAGGGCTGCCACGTTTCGGCTACTCGTTGCTGCAAAACAGCGCCGACTGCCACGTCTGACGGACAGTGGGGCTGCCGGATCGTGTTGTGCTATAGAAGCTATGTTGGCGATGACCTCTTCCAGCGACTTCAAAGCAGCGCGTGCTGTGGCAGGAAATTCGAGTTTCTTGAGTTTCCCTCGGAGAAGATCTGTGACGTGTTGCATCAGCGACGCGCAGTTGGGTATGAACCGTCGGTAAAACTTGACAAGCCCATCAAAATGCCTAAACTGTTTGAAAGCATGAGGCTCGGGGTAGTCGATAACGGCTTGAATTTTATCCCGCAGTGGCACGACGCCTGCAGAAGAGATACGGTGACCCAGGAAATTGACTGAATCGACACCAAACGAACACTTTTCTGCGTTGATCGTCACCCCGTGTTAAGATAAACGAACAAAAAGTGTTCGTACGTGGCGTATGTGCTCTTCCCGTTAAGAGCTTGCGATTAAAATATCATCAAGATACGCGTAAGCGAAGTCTAAACCGCGACAAACTTGGTCAATGAAATGCTGAAAAGTTTACGCGGCGTTCTTTAGGCCAAATGGCATGCGCAGAAACTCGAACAAACCAAATGGATTCGTCACGGCAGTTTTAGCGATGTCCGCCTCGGCTACCGGAATTTGGTTGTATGCGCGTACCAAGTCGAGTTTGCTGAAGATACTTTTACCTGCCAGTCTGGCGGTGCGATCTACTATGTGTGGGATCAGATAGCGATCGGGCGTGGTCACCGTACTCAAGGATCGATAGTCG